TGTATTAATTCTCTGATCTTAACTTTGCATTAATGTAGCAGTTATGTAACCACTCCAACCAATTTTGTGTTGGAAATATCTAAACAGCCAAGAATCTAAGCTAGACCAATCCCCCAAATGGCTAGGACTAACCACAGATGGCCATGAGTCTCGGCGTTTTGTATGAGGATCCAAGCAGGGAACAATAGTAGAGAGAGGAGTATAACCATGGCTGCAATTCTGGAGTTGCTATCAAATGGACAACATTATGATTATATGGTACGTACTTCAACCAGCAGACCATCAGAGTGGCAAGGTGTTCTTATAATGGAATTAAGTTCCTAACAGGTGACTGCAATCGCGTCCTGTTCAAAGATGGTCTCTGCCACTGGATGGGAACAAACTCCTCCCACTGACACCAACAAATCTGACACCTCAACCTTTAACCAACGACCCCAATGCGTGGGTTGAAGTCTCCAGGTAAAGCGAAGTAACCAAACCTTGGACATTGAGTATTTTATCGAGATACGTTCTGTGGATTAAAATTCAATCTCCAAGCTCAAGAAACTCTTTGGCTTTGAAGTGCTGACAGCCTCTCCACGGGTGAAGGTGAAGGCCCATTCAGAGTGTCATTCATAATTTTAAGCGACAGAGAGAAAGAGGGAGAGAGGGAGGGTGTGCAAAGGGGGGAGGATGGGGAGAGGAGGCAGAGGAGGAAGAAGTGGTGGTGATGTGGGTGGATGATCTCAACCAGCACATTATCACTGCAGGGTTTCTCTCTGCTGTGTATTTGAATGGACAAGTTCATTCAGATTCACAAACTGAATATGAACGAAACTTTTTAAAGGTGTATTTCCCTTTAAAGGTACAGAATAAAGGTTTGTATTAACTGAGTGTGTGGAAAGAGGAAAGTTAATAAATAGGAGTGTTGTGATATACGAGCATTGATGATAACTTTCATATTTAAATACCGAAATACTGATACCATGTTCTTAACACATGATATGATAATACTGTGAATAATCCAGTGTCATTTACTATCTGGTTGACACTATAACATAAGAACAATTTATAGTATAGATATGGTTACGGACTTTCTTTACCTCTGTAGCTACATACTTTGAGTGTAATTCATTTGTAAAAACACATATTAAACCAACTTAAAGAGCAATTTGACTTTAAGCATTATTGCTTTTTAAAAATCCCCCATCCATATTGTGGTATCACTACTGTGAAATGTTTTGGCCACAATATTTGTGAAAATCTGACAGATATCGGCCCTAATCAAGAACCTAGCAATTCATTTTACTGTCCACTGTAGGATAAAAAAAACAAAAACTGATGATCTGTCCAGGGTGTCCCCTGCCTTCACTCTAAGTCAGCTGGGATAGACTCCAGCTCTCCTGCAACCCTAGTGAGGATTAAGCGTTGTATCGATGGATGGATGGATGGATGGATGGATGGATGGATGGATCAAACTCAATTGCACATTTCTCACTTTAGATCTTTACCTTTATTTGAGAAACTTACAAGTCATCTCAAAGGAGGCAAAAAGTTGGACTCCAGATTCTACCCTTAAACAGATACTGGGGCTTTTAATTTCGGTTGAACAGTTTAAGGGATTTTTCCATTTACAACCCACAGTTCGTAAGAGGAAATCATCTCCACCTTATAAATACAAGGCTGAACCAGGCGTGTGGAGGTGGGCTGTGCAAGAGACAGGTCATAATCCACAGCTGGCCCATCCTCAGGTGTTTGGAGGCGTTCAGGAGCCTCAAGTTTTCGCTAAACTTCTTGTGAGGTTTGACTTTCTCAACTCAATGAAACAGTTCTGCTTTTTTTCTGAAGGGGGACAAAAAAAACCCCACCAAAAACCAAAACCACGAATGATCAATGAAGTCCTGTGTCCAAAGTGCGTCTAATTTGCAGGAGTCTCTCGCTGCACACGCCTACGTATGTCTGACACACTTCTTTACGCACGAGGGTCTCCCCCAAATCTCCCCGAATGTGTGAGTTGAATAAAGTCGTAATGGTTTTACGCACGACTCCTGTCATGAGGTTCTTAAACGTAAGTGGAATCTGGGTTAGATATTTGGATCGTTTTTATATGAACATGTAAAAAAAAAAAAAAAAAAAAAAAAAAAAAAAAAAAAAAAAAGACCCAGCGCTGCGCTGCACCAAACACTTTTTGTCATTGGAAGCAGGCAGCTGCAGTGATTCATCGCCTAATTTAAACATCACGATTTGCTCTCATGGCTGCGATCAACTGGTGAGCAAATTTTGGACATACTCGACTGTAAGTGTTGGATGTAGATGTTTGATTTCTTCTGTCTTTTCGAGATAGTTTTAATAAACCGACTCCATCGAGAGATGACTGATGCTGCGAGGCTGCTTTAGGATCAAGTGGCAGATTTTAAACGTACCAGATAATATTTGCTGTTGCCTCCAAGCATCCACCTGCACTCAACACAATATTACCAGTGAAGCAAACTCCTCTGACAGAAGCATGTTTTGGCAACAAACAGATAATGAGAAGGTGAAATGCCTCCCTTGAGATTTATATATATATTTTAACCAAACATAATTATGTAATAATCCGCTATTATAGAAATATTTAGACATGGAAATAGATTTGGAACTCAATGCTCTTTCCGAAGATGCCTCACATGAATCTTCACCGGAGCTTTTAATATTTGCCATAATCTGGGAGTAAAAAAACACACACACACACAGCTACTATTTTCATCGTTCCTGTTTTTAAAAAAGAACCTGCACTGTGATTCAGGCTATACTTTTCCTCCCCTTTATAAATAGCTGCACTCCGTTCAATGACGTGGGATACGCACGTACATGTGTAGGTGAATCTTTGAATGAGCTCTCTCTCTCTCTCTCTCTCTCTGTCGCTCTCTCCCTCCTCTCCTCTTCCTCCCTCTCTCTCTTTCTCCCCCCACCTCCTCCTCCCCCCTCCTCCGTTCCCTCTACTAGTTACTACGGGATCTCTATAAAAAGCCTACGGTTGATGGGAGAGCCCGGTCTGTATGGGAAGCGACTTTGGAGAAGAGGGAACGACAGCGTCTGTGCGCAAAAGGCAGCGTGGCACAGATTTGCGCTGACAGTGACGATGACAGCCGAGCTTAGACACAGGACAGACATATTTCTACAGCAAAGTGCCGCAGCCATGGCCACAAAGGGGGAACTTTGACTGAGGTAAGTTAAAATTCCTTCTTTATGCAGACTAGATGTTGTGTTTGGCTACTTCACAAAAAAAAAAAGAAAAAAAAAGAAAGAAAGAAACATACTTCTGATGGGCCACTAAGTGCAACCAAGGGAGAGGATGTATTGGACGGGCCATCCCCCCTTTAAGAAGCCCAGAAGTCTGCTTTAACTGACACTGTTCTCCGGTTGGAAGTTGCTGCAGTGTGACTCATTTTCTCTCCCATGTGGGCAGCATTCAGCCCGCAACCTGAAAAAAAAAGAAACAAACAAGAGAAAATCTAGAAAATAGAAATTGCAGGAAAATGTCAGAGTCTGGTTCAATCTGTTCCAATGTCTCACTCTTAAAGCCTTTGGGGTTATTATTGGGTTTTTTCCCCCTGCTTTTTTAAATATAACCTATAAATCAACACGTCCCAATGGTTATTCATGCTCACCTGTCACACAGGTTGCATCAGGTTCCCAATTAAACAGGGAGCCGCTGTTTTCAGGCTGCGCTGTGTCCTCCAGCGTCCAACTAGAGATGCGCAAATGCCAATGTGCAACGTACACGGCACACGTGCGCACGCGAACACACGCACACACAAGGAGGCACACACACCTCAGTGCGCATTTTTTTTTTCCAGTGCGCGTCTGACTGTGTGCGTGTCGGAGGAGTGAGGAGGGGGGGGAGGTGGGAGTGTGGAGGTGGGACGGGGGGGGAAGGAGGTGGGGGGGAGTGTTCCTCACCAAACCCCCATCTACACTCTCCGGAGCGCGTGGCACCGGGAGGTTTCCGGTGATAGTGATGACATTACAGCCATCACTTTTCTTCCGGTGTGGCGATACACCGCTCCACCACGCCCCCCCCACCCCCCTCCTCCCATCTTTCTCCCCTTCAAGCGCTTCCGGTCGGCGTTTCCTTTATCTCCCCCCCCCTCCCCTTCCAAATCCCACTTCTGTGACGTCGTCAGCCAGTGAAGTCACCCCTGCGTCATTCTTGCGCACTTTGCAGATGATACGCAGTCACCTACTATAACCCTTTTAAAGGCATTGCGCTCACGCACGTACGCACGCACGCAGGCACGCGCACACTGCAGCGTGATCACTTTTTTCTTTTTTTGGCGGCGTGCGCAATGTGAGAGGCTCGTGCACGCGGACAACACGAGGGAGGAGTGGGTGGAGCGAGTCAATGAGAGCTCCGGTTCATTCACAAGTCTTTGTTGATACAGTAGCGCTGACTTTGATCTCACGGCTAATTACGTGCCATGAAGAAAAGCCATCTGAGATATTGTAACAGGCGACTTTGTGATACGATAATAGAATATCTAAACCTTGCTTAAACAGCTGCTATGATCAAAAGCTGTGCACTGGATATTTTAAAACCACATTTTTTTGTTTTCCCCATCCCTGAAGCGCATTTTTCCAACAGCGTCGTGCGTAAATCTCGAGTTAGAAACTTATGTCGAAGGTTATGTTTTAAAACACAAAGACAAGACTTAAGATCCGAAGTCCAGGCTCAACTTGGACTCATTTCAGTGCAGGATCCGCGCACTCGCACCCACACGGTTTCTCCCCAGTGCCATGGAAACCGAAGCCAGACCGAGTCACTGCCCACGCGCTCTGATAGGCTGAACCCAGGCGGCGGAGTGGAGCGCGAGCCGATTGGTAGTGCTAGCGGCGTGACGTCATATGTCCGTACCCCCCCCAAACCCTTCCTCCCTCGGGCTTCAGACACGTGACGGCACTCGTCACCTGATCGTCGTCACGTCTTGAGAAATTAGAGCAGAGGCTGGTTAAGTTGTGGAGGAGAGACGCGCGCCGGGAGGTTCTACTAATAGCCTTTTATTCTGCTTGTAAAAGTCACCATAAAGCCAGATTTAGGAGCTGTGACTACGCAGTCTGCTGTGTTTAAGTGAAGCCTCTGCGTTGCCTCCCAGCTGTCAGGGTCTCCGTCCCGTTCAGCACCGCGGACAGCACCGATCCAGAGCGTCGCTGTGTCGCTGTCCAGACGGCTCAGTGCTGAAACAGGAAAAAAAAAAAAAAGGAAACCTGTTGCAGAGAACAACCTAATAACAAAATGCATGCAAATAAAACGAAATCCATACGATTCCATGCACTTCAAGCTTCTCTGGTGATCAAAAAGATGATTCTGATTTTACACATTTGCATCACTTTTCCTCTGTGTCCTATTCATAGTTCCTACAGAGTTAGCTGTTTGACTGCTATTGTCAGACAGTGCTGTGATTGCAGAGCTCTGAAATGTCCTCTGTGCTCGGCCAGTGAGTCACTGAGCACAGATAAGTCTCATAATCATCACATCTAATCAGGTACATCTCCGGTTTAAATGCAGCAGCTTTTAGCAGTGGTGCTGAGGGTGAAAAGTTTAAGCTTTCAAGTTGCTTCCAGATTCATTAAATTGGCCAGTCAGTGTTGAATATTCTAAAATTCTTAATCAGCATGACTTGTCTGGGTTTTTTTTTTGGAGGAAACCAATGCTCTAGATATGCAGCCATCAGTGTAAGCTACTAATCCTAAACGGGTCTAATCTCCCTCTAATATAGTTGTTCATGTTAAAATATAGTCTTTATTAGCTATCTTGTCTCTTGTTGCGCCACCTCACTCACTCTCTGCTCCATCTCACACACACTTGCATACATGAAAACACTAACTAGGTCAGAGACAGGAAAACAGTGGGTGGATGATGTCAAATGCCAATCATGCCAGGGGTGTTTTTTTCATTAAAAGTTTTTTTCTTTTTTTTAAGGCTCTTACATAAAAGGGCATATGTTTGAATGACTAAAATATCTGTCAGCACTTTGTTTCTTTCTCTCTCTCTCTTTTTTTTTTGAAGTTTTACTTGACTGATGATGATTAATTGATTGCTTGGTGGGTTTAGGTGATTATTTAAAATCCTACATTGAAACAGAAGTCAATAAAGCATTTTTAGACACTACAGATGGTCTATTGCTAATGTTAAAGCATATCAGTAAATAATGGCATCATCTGTAAAAGAAGAAGAACAAGAAAAACAAGAATTATCACAATGCTTTTGTTTTTCTCTCATTTTCCAGCGACAGAATTTTATTCACAAGTCATTATGGGAGTAAATCAGTCTGAGTGCTGTCAAATGCCAGCTGGACCTAATGTTTCAAAAGATGATTAAAACCTCACTGATGTGAGTTTGTTTGAAGCGCAGCACTGAATTAAATGCAAAAATGGTGCTACAGCTACACCTAAAGCCCCAACAGAAGAAATGATCACCATGATGGTAAAGGAATGCAAAGTAGCACTTCTTGGCACATTGTCTACTCAGTGTATTTGGGTCACTGGGATTCCCCTGGTCAACAAACAGTGCAGCCTTCTGATCACCTCTTTTGAGTCATTTCAAGTTCTGTTGCAGTGATGTTAAAACTCTGTCCTCTCCTCTTTTTGCTGCTGCAGGTTTCCACAAGTGGAGAGTTTGTCCTTCCTGCCATCTCATCCTCCTGCCAGAGCATCAGCACCTTGGCTTTAGACTGCTTACTGCTTATACAGTGTCACAGTACAGTAACAGTCTACAGTCATGGCTACTGAAGCCTGGCAATGCATCAAATGCCACAGTGAAGACAACACTGAAGAAATCCTGTGTAAAATGGCTGACTTGAGAAGCTGAAGAAGCTCACTCTGTATGTTAGAGATCTCTCCTCTCTGTGTCTCCTGGCCTGTTTTTTTTTTTTTTTCCTTCCTTCTCCCGCTCAGAAAGGAAACCTGTGTGGGCTTGCATTGGGGGAGTCCTACACCATGTAAGTGCGTAACATTCGCGCTCAAACCAATGAGACCTTGCAGTTTCCAGTTACCATGCCAACTCCAGTTTCTCCTCCACCCTGCTGTCTCCATGGCGACCGTGGCTTTAGATTGTTACTCTAGCAACGGCACCATGGTAACAGTCTACAGCCATGGTCGTTAGGGGCAGGTGTCATCTGGAAAGAGAGAAAAAAGTTAAGTTGAGGCTGTTAATTAACTTTACTTTTCATACGTCTTTAAAAATTCTGTCAGAAGCTGTTCATTCAGCAGCAGAGTTGTCAGTTAGACGGCAAATATCTGTTTGAGTCATTTATGATTTGAGTAGAAGTGTTGTGATCCTGTGTAAGATAACAATGACACACATAATATGATCTGTCTGACACATCAAACAGTTTCACAATGAAGTATGCAATGACACATATGGACGCACGCTGCGTTTCACGTTTGCTTTATTAGGTATAGCATGTTTCTCTTACGGTGAGATCAGTGAGTACAGTGATGAATGCAAAGATCACATGCTGAACGGATGAGTCAGCCAGCTCCAACACCTGCTCCGCTCTCTGTTTATCAGACAAGAGCAGTCTCACTTCAAAGAGGCACAGCCAGGAATTCCCAGTGGGCAACACTATAACCTGCAGGCAAACACACACTGGGTCCCACACAGGTGGGCTAACACACATGTATGCACACACATATACAGATACACACGTTCAGTATGCATGCAACAAACGCACACACACACACACACACTCTCACAAAGAATGAACCAGTACCTCCTCCACTTTCATTCTCAAGCACAACTCTGCAATACTCAGAGTTATACTGCCCTCTACAGGACAACATTTGTAAATGTCATCCGTCTGCAAAGTTACTAAAGTTTTCCAAGCTGAAACATTTTGAAGCAAAACGTGTCTGATTTCATGAAATAAAAAAAATAAAAAACATTAACCATGTTTTTTTGTGGATGCTTGCTAAAATAGCTTTGTATCAGATGGTGGCAGTATCAATGGTCCAAGAACAGAAGTTGATTAAAACAAGTCAAATATTATTTAGGAGACTGCAGATTCCAACTTTACCAAAAAAGCAGGTTTCATGTTGCAGTTATATGTCAGCTGTCAAAGCTCTCAGATGTCCTGTATGGACAAGTGGAGGTTGTTAAAGATAGTAAAAAATTCAAGATGCAAGTTATCTGCAAGACTGTAAAACTTATTTAGAGTTTGAAGACTGGCTGAAACGAACAAATAAAAAATTCTCATTACACTTTCAGAGCGCTGCAACAACGTGAGGCTGATAACTTTCATTATAAGTGAAGAGTTACAAAAGTTTGTAGACAGAAAAGCATTTTAATCTTCACTGAAACCAAAGCTATCACATTTCTGCCCTGCATCACTGTTTGACCAATATCTTTTCAAATGGGACTATCTTTGCTGTCTGTTGACTGAGAGAGGAAAACTAAAGAAATGAAAGGAAAAGAAAGCCAACTTGCATCAGCTGTTTATCCTCTGCCTCCCTGCACCGTAAAAGCTCATGTGCTGACAGATAAACAACAGCACATAAACTCTTACTGTTCAGGGCTGAGAAGTAAAGTTGCCAAACACACACTGATAGGAGTCTGCTTTTGGTTTCAATTTGAGTATTGATAGTTAATTGTTTAGGTCACTTAGAAGTAACGAAAGTAGCAGCTCAAAATGAAATATATCCCAACAAACACTTAAAATAATAATAAAAAACTTCATTGTGCCGCACCTTTGATTTAAGAAGTGGTGCTCAAAGATGCGTCACATTGAAATAAACATAGAATGAAGTTAAAACAGCCACAAAACGCCATAATTAATGTAACTAAAGATTAAAAATAAAACTAATTTAAGTGTATCAGGCTTTAGCCTCGTCCACGTGCACATTTCAAGCAGTGCACAGCTGAGAAAGTCTGATCTTATCAAGGTTTTTTTGTTTGTTTAACTCTAAATTAAAAAAAAAAAAAGTTCTCTAATTTAGTCTACATAGGATTCCTCTGCCAATATAAATGAGCTACAAGCACAGCAAATGCTCTTGATGGTTTTACTGTCATGTCCCTTTTCACCCTCCAGACCTCTTCAGAACAGTTAGAGACCAAACAAGATTGCACAACAGTGTTCACATTTTTTGGGATTTTTGAGCCAAGACATGCCTCTCTCTGCCGCTCTCTCTCTCTCTCTCTCTCTCTTGCTCTCTCTCTCTCCCTCTGTGTTTGTTTCAACCTGACTCTACCACCGTCCTCCTTCATGGTCACGATGACTAATATTTACCCCAGTAGTGTCAGTTAGGCACCTATAAGGACAGCCAAACCACAGCTCTCCCTGCCAGGGCCCAGCCATTGCGTCCAAAACAGTCCAGTAAAGCAGACAAGCAGAAAAAAACGGCTGCAGATGACATCATACATCAAATAGCTGCTGTCCCAACTTAAGACGGCCTCGTCGGTGTCCTGAATTCACCTCACGGCCACAACCTCTGAACATAATTACACCTGTATTAAAGTGACAGTTTCCACCAGATGCACTCGCAGGCTGAGCAGGTTGAGCGACCAACCGCAGTCAGGATGTTGCAGGAAATGAAATCTGCGATTAATTGTGGGTAGAAAGTGTTTCCAGGTGGCCTGACCATCCAGCCATTGGACAAATTAATCACAATATGTCAGCAAGACGACACATTGTTGACATATTGTCATAGTTCTGGATGCATGACTGGATGAGGACAACAACCAGACAAGTGTTGGCTCCAGCCAAAGTACACTGTGTCCACAAAAACAAGAAACCCACAAAGTAGAAGAAAACCATAAGTATGCGAGCAAGGAATAACAAATGACCAAATCGCACCCATATGGAGGAAAAAAAAACAAAAAACGCAGATACACACCCACACACACACACACACACACACACACATGCATAAACACCCGCTGCCTGTTGTTTGGGCCTCAATGTCACACAACATAGATTCCTGTAGTTTCATGTCATTAGTCGACATCAGCTGACTTTCCTTTTCCCTTTCTGTGCTGTAAATAGCAAATCCATTGACAACTCTAAATATACTCCCTTTGTTCCCTCTTTCATATGTCAACACATGACAAACGCACTGCATATCTGAGCAGCTCTCACATCAGGAGGCTGCCTGCTTTTTTTCCCCCGTGTTAACTATGCAGACGCACACAACAAACAGGGAGCACAGGGGCATGGCTAACTCCCATGTGATACTGGACACAGGCCATACCTCTGGAAAACATCCAACATGATGTTACGTCACATGCATCTGCAGCAGCACACCAATTTAGCACACACACAGAAACGCATGAACAACTGAAATCAACTGATGGGTTCAATGTCTTTTCACAGAGGCGTGAAATCCAAACTATTCAACAGTCCTTCAGCATCTCCTCTGTGTGTGGATCATGTAGGTTACAATGATGGTTAAGAAAAAAATAAATCAAAACAATGGTGAAAAAAAAAAGCATGTAAATCCCAAAGTTGCAGGCCAAGCAGTAAAATCTCCTCTGCTGAAAATCTTGTAGTGTCAGATTATCCCAGGCAGAGCTGGTCAGCTCTGTCTGGCCGAGGCTGGGCCATGGGATGACCAGGCTCTTTGGAGTTTAAGTGCAAGTCTTATATAGACACTCGCAGCACGTGGCCCCTCCCCTCCTTCCGTCTCCCATAACAACAAACGCTCCATAATCAAAATAGAGCCCATCTGTGGTGCGACACACCCCTCTGCCCCCTGCTCCATCCGCTCCACCGGGGGAAAAAGTGATACTTCAATCGTGGCATTAAAAACTTGAATGTGCTGCCCTCGCTCTCCCTTAAAAAAAACAAAAAAAAAACGCAACAGTCAAAGAGAGTGAGAGAGAAGAGTGGGTGAGGGAGAAAAGGGGGAGGCAGAGAGGGAGAGGGTGGCTAACTCCACCCTCATCTGTCTCTGTCTCTCATTCCTTTATTTCCCGGTTGTTGTGCAACAGGAGGAACGGATTCCTGAGAAGAGAGTCACGGCTCTGTTGTAAAACTTACTGGCAAGAGTGACCCTCTGTGTTTTTCTTTTACTGTTTCCCTCCTCGGCTCTCGCTCACTCTCTCCGTTCGTCTCCACTTGTTATCAAAACCATGTGTATGAGCTGAGTGTGTCGGCTGTGAGGTCTTGGAGGGACACAAGGGCCACAGGGGAGCGCAGGAGAGGAGGACTGTGGTGAAAAGGAGGCTACGTGTGAGCAGCTGTCCCAGCTCACCAGGACAGGTGACGTGTTACAAACACATAAGACTGATTAAGGACCAGAGGGTTAGTGTTTTTTTTTTAAAGAGACGGAGCAGATGATCAATAGAAGCAGTTTTATTGTGGAGTTTCATCTCAGCATGCATCAAGAGCGGGTTTTTCTGGGAGATATCCAGACAAACGAAACTATTTTGGTCATAAATGTAACAAAACATGCGATGGGGCACGTTGGGGCCGATGACACACAGGATGTGGAAGGAGGATGTTGAGGAGGGTTTGGAGAGAGGTAGAGTCTGGTGGGAGATGAAAGAAAAATGTAAGGAGAGAAAGAGAGAGCGAGAGAGGGAAAGTAGAGGTAGAGAGGAGAGAGAGAGAGAGAGAGAGCAGCACACATCTGGAAACAATTGAACGAACGCAGTCTGACATGCACATGCTTCAGCTATAAAAGAACAACATGTCCTTGAACCCTGCGCATTTCAGCCAGCGCATAAACCTGTCTGTGGAACCCACGCATGAGGCAACACCTTCATGCATCCCCAAAAATCAAAACCAATCACCGAGACGCATCTCCTCTGGATGACTCTCCGTTGCTCCTCGCAGCTCAACACAACCGAGTACAGGAGAAAATGACTCACTAATGTTGTGTAAAGACAAACCCACGAACAAAGTCGCTGCATTTATCACCTTTACATCTGGACCTTATTCCTCCTCGTGCACCTTCAAACGAACAAACTCTGGGTCAAAGTCACTTTTAGTAACATTCTGTGACAGCGTGAGGTTTTATTGTTGCGCAGTTGTAAAATACTACACAAGGGAAGCAAAATGTGCAAAAGCTATGTCATGCAAAATATTACTAACAGTTATTAATCCAAGGTTTCCAATGTGGCTCTGATATAAGATTCTTGTCATAACTTTCCACAATCATGGCAGAGTGTTCCCAGAACCTGGAAATGTCAGTCCCTCTCTGGTGTAATGTTGCTTTCATAAGGGGGAAAAATGCTTTTTAGATTTGACATTACTGCAGAGAAAAAGCACATTCATTACTATGAGGTGCGTAATATACAATATTTCCTATTTCCACCTAAGGGATTAATTCAAATCCGTGTAAAAGGCCTCAGTAAACATCAGCGTGCTTGATGGATCATGTTAAAATGTCTCAAACTCTTTGTGAAAGCGGAACCAGAGGGCTTGCATCCAAAACTGACAATCCTACAATAACACCTGCTGCACACAGCGGCTGGTGTGAAAATAAGGCCGCCTTGGAACCTCTTTGCAACTACTTCTGTCAGTTGCATCAAGGCTACACACACGCAAAAGATGGTGACGCAGCCAGGAAAAAGCTATGATGGCAGGGTTTTCGCTTTGCCTTCTACTGTGACTATTTAGATTCAAAAGAAGCGGAATTTGCCTGTGAATTCTTGTTTATCTCAGTCTATTCTCATTGCATTACAGAAAACATTTTAGGAATTCAGTGGAAAAAGCAGACGAAATACTGCTTTTTGGTGACAAAGCCATAATGAATATATGTAATCCCATCTTTGCTTTTCCTGATATGATAAATTAAAGAGCCTCCTGGTAAAAACCAAGCGTTTTTTTCCTTGTTAACATGTCCATATGGTGTTTTTATGTGCTGGAAGACAAATCATTTGCAGAGCATTTCCTCCTTTATGATTCAGACTTCCGGCATTTCATGTGTAACAATTTGAGGAGCTATTCCTGTCGGTTTATGAGGTGGGGCTTTTCGTATCATTGTTCTTCAGTATCAGTCTACGGTTCAAACATGTATACTTGGATTTCTACAATAATCCAAGCATACATGTCTTTGTGCGTCACAGAATAGCTTCACAGTGTTTGAGCAGAGTTGCAGGTGGGCTGGTGTGCTCCAGCTGCAGCAAGTATCTGAGGTGTGAGTAGAGAGAGAGAGACATAGATCTGTACAATCTAAAGGAAGCAATGGTGTACTTACATGTTAGCAATTTTAAGGCAGGAAACTTCAAAAATAATGTAGTTTTGTTTCATAAAGATAATTTTTTTGAGGGGTTTAATCAATAACCAGAGGTGCTTTAAAATATATTTCATAACATTTACAAAGAAGAGTATTGATTTTTATCTGCATTTAAGAAATAAATTCTCACTGATGTTGCTCAGCTCATAAAAAACAAACACACACCACAGTGCTTTAAATAAACAGTTGTCATCTCGTTTATTGTTTGTTGTAAGGTATTTTCCCTGAGAAGGACGGCAGTCCTCAAGTTGTTTCCAATGGATCACATCAGAGGAGGAAAAACAAATGCATCCAGAGCGCAAAGGTCACGACTCCGAACTTGGAATTTTTCCCAACATGCCTCTGGAATCAATTATGTCCTCACAAGATGTTCTTGAAAATTAAATAATCAACATTCTCTGGCCATATTTAAGTGCTCGAGTCATCTGCTGTTGTAGTTCTTCACTTATCCAGCTTCTGATTGGGTTTCTGCGGCTTTCATTTCTCATTGGAACCTCTTGAGGAAGTCCTGGTATGTTTGCCTGTGGGCAGATGCAGCAGGAACAAAATGGCCACCAGGATGTATGAGGACCTGAGGGTCTTGGAAGGAGGGGAGGAGCTCCCTGCTCATGCTGTCGGGGATGACTCTGTCCTCCTGTCCGAACACATGCAGCGAGGGCATCTGGAGGGGAGCGCTGTAGAATTTTTGATGTTCCTTACACGCGCTGCGGAAACCGGCGACGAGGATGGCAAAGTGGAAGTTGAACTCTGGCTCCACTTTTTGCTCCTGAAGAGAGCACAGCATGGCCACGAAAGCAGCTCCCTGACTGAAGCCCAGGATGCCGTCAAACGGACCCTGGGCCTTCACAGCTTCTCTCACGGATGCCACGCTGTCTTCAAGCCCCAGGCTTTCCTCACACTGCTGCTGAGCGCTGAAGCTCCGAGCCTGAGTGTCAGAAAACCACCAGCCCCTGGAGTCCTCGTCACCTCTAGGTCCAGGAGCTGAATCATTCTCCTTGACTGCAACTTCTAAAAACACAAAAGACGGAAGTGGTTATTCTGTCCTTTCATTATTTAGAATTCAAAGGAAGGCAGCACAGATTTGGTGACAGAAAGCTGATGTCTTAAAGACTTCCTCTGTATTATTAAATGTATTTAAATCTGTGCAGCTGATGACAAACTACTACAGATGGATGGATGGATGGATTGTACAAAAATATTTTACATATAAGCAAAAATTTAGACTCAGATTGCAGAAATTCAGGTTAATTAGAGTTTGGCGATCAATTATTGATCTCGTATTATATTATACTACTATATATATATATAAGTTGTCCTAAAAATAGCCTTTTCCCCCTGCTGTGCCTCCTCATGTGTCATACAAGCACACTGGGACACAGTGGTAGCTGTGCTCATCAACAAATATTATTACTATTAAGACATAAATAGTGCCTGACAAACAATCGAGGTGATGAATGTGACATTGGTTTGTCTTATTTCTTTATCATAAAATGCTACTTACAAACATTATAAATTAAGTCTTTCCATAAATAATCTATTAGAAACTGGGTTTATCAGTGGTGTAAAATTTCTATAAAATTACCATAATAACTTTATATTACTTATTCTAAGTTATATATTATATCACCTATTTACTTTTGTAAAATCAAGCATTTTTAAGTATTGTGATTTCATAATATTTTTATATATATATTTATATCATAATTTATAATGCACATCTTCAAGTGTACAGTACTTCATTTAATAGTACAATAACTGGAATGTGCATATGTACCTTTAAACTGCATTCGTCTGATGTAGATTTTCCTGCTATATATTCTGTGTATTATTTGTATACTTTCACTAATAATTCCACATATTTTTATATATCTCTCAATAGAGAGAAATCTAAGAAGTTCAAACAAGTACAACGTAGGTGCCCTTTTGGTAGGGGACACAAAAGTTCATTAAAAACAAGATCCAGGGCATATTTTACAAAGAAATTCTGAAAACACAGAGGAGCTGTTTGTGCTGCTTTGCGTGGGTTGTGTCCCAGAATCACAGGATCACGCTGCTGGATGTCCGTCCTGAGCATCATGTGGCAGATTTTCTGTCCTACTATGCTGCCTGTAACAGTTTATTAGATAACAAATGGTGGAGTTCGAGTTCTTGGCTACAACCCCACTAACAACTAATATTCTGTGTTTATTTTTTTGTACGATGTAAATAAAGGCTTTAAAGAAAATTGTGCCAGAGAGGTACCTTGGATATTATTTTTTGATCTCTTAAAATTTATTTAATTGCCCCCCATGTCAGCTTCTATACTTTAAAGTTCCCATGTGATGAAAATCCATTTTTATTGTGCTTTATGGTTGTTATAAACTTGGAGGTGAAAACTAAAAGCTGTAAAGATATGAAGACATCTGTCATTCCTCAAGCCCCCACAAGTAGATAGACTCCCAGCTTTACAAGCCAGTAAGAATTTGACCTTAAGTGCTGTGTATCACCACAAACCAATAGTTTTATTGTTCATTTGTTTGGACATTTTCCCCTTTTATTGATATTGACAGCTGAAGTAAGAGACAGGAAAGGCTGGAGCAGCTGCCATTAGTTTGGATGCTTTACCCACAGGCCTGAGGTTTGTGGAAACTGCAAAGCTGAGGGACATTGAGAGGTGGTGTCAACTTTAAGACAGATTTGAAACCAACAAACGAGGAATGGATGGGTTACTGTGTTTTCCGTTTGCGTCTCTCCTGCTCTCGTGTGCCACATTTTAATTCAACCACATTTGCAATAAAGCTTTTCTCATTGACATACTTTTCTGTATCTTTTGTCAGACAACAGAACGAGTATGAAATAGTGACTGAAGCGCAGCCTGTTATTGTATGTTAGTAGTCATTGACTTCTGAGCCATGTCCCAAGATGCCATTCTACGATGCTCAGTACTGATTTTGTATGTGCAACATCATCTGACAAACTCACACAACAAACATACGAGTTAAAAACAACTGCTCTGCTGCGAATTCAGTGACATTTCCACGTTAAGTGACCACTTGAAGAGAAGATTAGAAGTTTTAGAAAGTCCTGGTCTCACACACATATTCCCATCTATGTGAGCTGCCATACAGTCAACTGTTTTTCTCTGCACTATCAATCACAGACACAGAGGTAGTGTCCAAAATCACCCTCTATACCATATATAGTGCACTATACAGGGTATGCGCCATTTTGTAGTGCTGTCTGACTGTTAAGTTAAAACTGATACACCCTATATAGTGCACTCAAAATATCCCACAATGCACCGTGAAAAGTAGTGTACAGCCGATGGTCACTAACTGAGCAATATGGACCATCATGCATTGCGTAGAAGGAAATGCAAACTAGACAAATGAGAAAGTGCAAAAACTTGTCAGTAAAATCTAAGTAATTTCTCGTTTATGTTTTGTTAAATCTTATTTTACCCATTTCTTAGCTATGATATAAACTGTGAATTTGATGTGGTTGCACTACAGTGCACTTTGCCGAGGTGCTCACTACATATTTCACGATATAATGGTCCCTATATGGTGAGTAGGGAGGAAGTGGATGATTTTGGACACAACCGTCGTCTTCTTCCTGAAGGGGGACAGATGCAGCTCATCTGCATTTAAAGCTGCAGACACTGAAACAGCTTGTTTGGAGCCTGACTAAAACCAGAGGATGAATAGTCATCTAGGAATTAGTCCTGCTTTCCAGCTCATTCAGTAGAACACAGTGACCTGGTTACTATCATTCTGCTACAGGTCATTAAAAACACCTTGGCTTGTCTGTATTTCTTTGAATCAATCACAGTCATTGCGGGAAAAACTAAGTGAAGGATGCGGCTTTGGGTTTCACTCAAAATAATAAAGGCCATATTATTTTTGGTGAAAGATTTGCATGCAGGGAGACAAGCAATGTAATTCAAATAATCCAACTGAACAAATAAAATGTACATATTGCAAGGTCGACATACTGCACGACCCAAATCTCTGGTAAAAGTTACAACTTTAGGAGTGGAAGGTTGCTGCTCGGATATGATCGTTGTTTCGTAAAGTGAAGAACATCAGTGGAGAAGAAGAACAAACCGGCCAACGACAGGCTTAGACCTGCATCCTACAGCTGGTGAATCGAGAGCAGGGGTGTCCAATCCTGGTCCTCGAGGGCCACAGTCCAGCATGTTTTAGATGTTTCCCTCTTCCAACACACCTGATTCATTTGATCAGCTCATCATCAAGCTCTGCAGAAGCCTGATAATGATCCTGATCACGTGAATCAGGTGTGGTGGAAGAGGGAAACATCTAAAACATGCAGGACTGTGGCCCTCAAGGACCAGGAGAGGACACCCCTGATCTAGAGGATGGCAAGATGAACCATCTCTGCAGTGCTTTGGGTGAAAATTAAAAGATAAATTCTGGGCACGTGAGACTTTAATTAATTTGCTGATAAGAAGCGCAATATGAGCCTTTCAGTGTTTCTTTACTTTCACTTCTGCTTATAGATTTGGCACTCTTAAACGTAAGCAACTGAAACATTAAGTATTCTGATTCCGTGTCTGTGAACCTTGTTGAGAGCTGCTAATAGAATAAAACCACGTCCTAGGAGACAGACAGTTTATGTCCTCCTCTACTCTTTTAACACGTACAGTTCAGTTAGCAGCTACTCCGCTAGCTTCACTTCCTCCTGCACTACAAACAGGTGACCCACCTCCGTGTCTGTCGGGCTCCACTTTTAGCGGTGCCGTCATGTAAATCAGCTCCACCTGTTTCTTCAGCAGCTTCCGCAGAGCTCCGGTCTTGTCCCGGAACGAGCCTCCGTTCTGCCGGTAACCGTGAACACACAGGACCCGGAGCGGCGCCATGGGGACGTTAGCCCAGCTAGCTGCTAGCGGCTAACGCTAGCCTCAGGAGTTAGTTTCAGTTCGACCCGGGTCCGAGGATAATAACGTGTTTATATACGCAAAACAAACGCTGTCTTATTTACACCCCTTTAACTGGTCAGTCCAAACACACGATGGGATGTTTGAGACACCAGAAGGAGTTATTAAAGTCTTTAACTCCAACAAAGTTAGTGAACACCTGCAGAACTCATGAGCCGGAATGACTGCGGAGTGCTTCCGTTTGTCCTTTCAAAGTAAACTGAGATACTAAACAAGACGATTATTTGAAATAATAATCAAACACACAAAGATCTAGTCAGTATTTACATATTTAATAATTAATAAGATGCCAAATTATTTTACCTCCTCTGGCTCCAGATTACAAACAGTAAAGCTCTTTTCAGCTGCTGAAGAAGCTTTAAATAACCAATTCAACACATATAATGGAGTTTATTACCTTTAAAAAAGTGATTCCATGTCCTGTATAGTAGCTGAAATTTTATCAAAATGACTGGATCATTCTTTTTGATGCATTGATAAAGCATAGTTTTATTTTATTTCCTTAATTCCTTGTTTTATACTTGAAACCCATCAGTAAATCATGTTAATCAGTGTAGTTCCCACATATATACTAGGTTGTTTGACACGGTCAATACATACAGCTTAAACATCAGAAACAATAATATAGTACTGCCTGTAATCAAAAGTGTGACTACAGCTATGTCTTTGCTTACAATTATTCAGGAACAAGAAACGATTACATTTCCCAGACACTGTTACAACAGATATAAAGTGATGTGTATTTGCACATTCTGACTGTTTGATCCACACAAAAGCAGATGGAAACACATGTGAATTGAATTATAACCACTTTTTGGCAAAAAAATGAAATCTGAAATCCTTGCAGCAGCCTTCATGAGCTTCACCACGACTTTTTCTACCCAAAATAAAAATAAAAAAATAAAAAAAAGGCATCACTGAAACCATTTCTTAAATCAATCCCTGAGGTACTGTTTACTTTATATGCAATAAAATATAAATCATTTATTTTTGATTTAAAATTGTAATTGTCACACACACAAACATCTAATGCTGTAAAAGCTGAGTATGAGGGTGCAATGAATCCTAGAATAAGAAATAGGAAAAACAGTGTTAAGCTGTTATGTTTTTTCTTTAAAGATAAAAACAAAATTTTTACTCGTTACTTTTAAGGCCCTTTGTGCCCCTTTTGCTGGCTGTATTCCTGACCTGTACTGTGCGCACCAGTACCACTTTGAGATCCTCAGAGGAGGTCTGTTGTCGTCACCAGCAGCACAGCAGAAAACTAAAAAGGACAGAGCGTTTGCAGTCAAAGCCTCAAGGCTCTGGAATGATCTGCCTGAGGAAATCAGGTCAACTGAGTCAGTGAACTAGTCAGTGAACATACTTTTATCTGGGAGTCTTTTTTGATTTGATTTGAATTTCCTTTGAACTGTCTTTTATTTCTTTTAATCATATTTTTACCTTTTGAACAAGATGTTGGTTTTTACACAACATGTTCTGTGTGTGTGTTTTTTTTTTTTTTTAGTCTTTTAAGTCGAGACGTTACTTTTTTTGTTGCCTTGTGAAAGACTTCGGAATTTGGATTTTCAAAAGTGCTCCATAAATGAAGATCATTATTATCATTGAAACATTGAGTTATTGAAGTGACCACAAATAATGGACTCTGAGTTTTTGATCCAGAGCACATGTCACCAAGATGTGACTTATGTAAAAACATTTTGAAATCGCTGCAAATTTCCCCACTGTGGGACTAATAATAGCTTATCTTATTTAACAGTTTGGCATGCATAACTGAAAGGCAAGCCTAACTGATGTGCAATTTTTGGAGCTGATGCTATTTTTTAATAAAGAAATCAGAAAAAAAGTGTATATCAACATATCGACCAATATTTAAAACATATATATGTATGCATGCAGTGTTGGAGTTGTGTTGGAGTCATATTGAAAATTGTAAATGATGGCGTCAGTGTTTATTAACTGCCCCGCATTTTATTTCACAAACTAGTTTACCATGAAGGCACCACTTAACTCCACACCACCACTTACTCTGCTGCATGTGCTGCAGGCAGTGCTGACAGTACAGTGTGGTTGGAGCTGCTCTGCCAGACAAACTATGTGATAGCACCATTTCTAAGTTGTCCTAAGCATCGTTTTCTGCATTGTGTTATGCAAAAAAAAAATAATTAAAAATTAAAAATCCATATAGACACATAACAAACTACATATAAACCGATACTGATATATCTAGGAAGGGCCAATATCAACCAATTGATACAACAGTCAGGCACTGATTGGAAGCCATACTATACGATAACATACTGTACGCTCTGTGTATAAATTTAATATGCAAATATGCAGCATTAATCTCCATTTTTAGATGACTCAGAAAAGTCTTAGTCTCTCTGTGTTGGACTTGTGGTGGTTTTTGCCAGAACACTTATTAATATAAATGAATGTATCTAATGATGATGATGATACATTCCTTATTTATTCTGTAATACACTCGAAGTCAAGGAAAATTAGACATTTAGAAGAGGAACGTGCTGTCAAGTTTATTGGGTACGTCATCAGTCATGTTTTCTCAGGTGAAACCGCAGTGACTGGAGCAGCTGAAGTTTTGACAGCCTTTCACAACAACCTTTTTTTTCCTCTCCCTCCATCACTGTCTGCCTGCTCTGCTTTCCTTCAGCTATAAGTCTGATTAACGACATGCTAACCATATGGCCCGATGCTGCTGCAAATTACCGTTACACCAGATACATGTCTTGTGTTGACTATGAGGCTTGAAGAATTAAGATAATTTGGATGTGTTCAATCAGGGAAAGATTATACCTGTCATTCAACGTCACATTTATTAACATGCTGGGATAGATTTGTTTAAAAAAAAATCTTCAAAGTTGAACTTCTGAGAGCTGAAATTTGACTGATTGTGTTGACTGTCAACTCTGACAAGACAAAAGGGAAAAACTTTGTTGTTTGATGTATTTCTGTACTGTTAGAGTCATTCAGTGCTGGTTATTCTCTTCCACAGTGTCCAATCATTTGCAAGTGATTGATTAAATTGAGAGAATTTAGTCGGTAAAAAGTTAAATCATTGGAATTTTTATAATAATTTGATTTGCTGCTGTTGCAAGGCAGAACATTACGTATTTCTTAGCTGAGGTTACTGTAGGGCTTTTGGAAATTTGCAAATTTTAAGCTAAACTACAGAACCAACCAGAGAAACCTAAGTTTAAACCAATATTTATTAACTCAAGACTGACAGGAAGCTTCAGCTTCGGGGTTCCAGTTGCTTCATTGAGCCAAACCTTAGTTAATGATCCTAACCATATGTTTCTAAGAAATGGAAAAAATTGTCAAGAAAACAACAGCTTTTTTCCAGCTCCTCACATTTATATCAGATGCATTTTAGTCGGAGAGATCTGGGACAGTGGGACGGACTTATCGCTAGCCGGTGTGAGACTGACCCCTAAAGACACAGATGAGAACGTCTTTTGCTGCAACATCTCAGACAAACCAGGTGATACTTTTACAGATACTGTAAAAATCACAATCCTTTGAGTACTTAAATGTTTCACGTCTCGGCAACAACTGCCTAAAAAAAAATGACAGAAAAACTTCATTTTCAACACAGATGAAAGTAAAATGCTAATTCTAGGCCACAGGAAACTCGCTTTTTACACTCTTTTAACTTCAGTGGCAGCACAGTTCTCCCAAAGGATCCTGTCAAAAATACAGACATTATCTTTGATCCGGAGGCTCTTTTGACAAACATATGAAGGCAATATCCCCAAAACCACATTCTCACTTCAGATTGATATGCAGGAGTTGGCATTTAGCAGTCCTCTTAAGGTTTTGGGGATGGCCCAAAGCAGTGACAGCCACAAAAGCCTCAAAAAGAAAAGGGGGGGAAATAGAGGATAGGAAGACAAAGTTTGATCAGCTTTGCCCTGCTTGGGTGCATTATTACATTGCCCACCTTTACCTAAAATCTGTCATACACACAATGTTTTTATGAACTACTGTGGCACCCCCTTTTGATTATCCAATCTTTAAATTAGTGAACGTAGCTGTAGGGCACACCCACTGAGATATTAACTGAGATGTATTGTGAGCTTTTTGTGTGTTATGAAAGAGCTCTGGGTTCAGGGTTTATCCAGCTGGGATGTGGAAGTCGAGCAGGGAGGACACCGACTGCTTTGTAGGTGTGGCCTCGAGGCAAGCTTTTGATTCAGAAAGTATGTTTTCACTGCCTCCGTCTCCTCGCAGGGTCTCTGTCAACAGGAGATTGTTCCCTTTGATGATGATGTTCTAGTTTTTTTCGGAGCGATCTCACATACAGGCTCTGTCAATTAGGTTCAGCAAAGGTCTTTTGTTGCTGAGAAAGCGCACGTGTTGCCTCGCTGTGACGCACATGCTAATTAGGGAGAGTGAAAAACACACAAACACACGCGCACACACACTCGTAGACACAAATGCACAACACACACACACACAGGGGACAAGGCTGCTGTTGATGTTCTCCAGCTCTGCTGAGGAGCCATGTGCTGATCCCCCAGGGAGGCAAAGAAACAGAGAGGGAGGGGGGGAAAGAAAGAGATCTTCACTGGTATAGACAAAACTGATCCCCGGTTTCAATTTTAATTTTAATTCCTTCCAGAATCGGCTGCTGCAACATATTTCTGGCTGTCCCATTCACACACTTAAGACATTTCCTGTTATGCAAAACTCAGCATCCTGATGCAGATCATTAAACACAACGATATGATTACTTGCAAGATCGCAGCCCAACATATAGCGAGTAAATAAAAACACACTGAAATGAGAATCCAATCACAAGTAAATATTATGTTAATTCTCTTAATTATAGCATGGTATAATGTGCACAGTGTTTACATAATGAGCTTCATAATGTCTATAATTAGACGATAAATACAACAAAAAGCCATGACATACACCAAGATACTGTATAGGAACTGAAACTCTATGCGAAACAACAACGCAGTATCTTACAGTTGTTTTGATACCAGTTTTATGAGGAATGTTTTTAATTTTATCAGTTCAATGAAACACCTAAGTTAGTGTAATTGCTTTGAGTATTCGGAATCCTCACAAACAAATTGATATCTGTTCAGTTTTGACATTTTATACATGAAGAGATGAAAAATTCAATATTTTTCACTC